AATATTTACATACATATAATAAATTATTAAATAAAAAAAAAAATTTTATAATAATGTAATAGAATTATAAAATTATTTTATATAAAAATTTCAAAATATTTCAAAATATTTATAATTATATTTATAAATCTATTTATAAATTTATATTAAAGTGTTATAAATTAAATTAAAAATGTATATTTAATAAATTAAATTAATAAGTTTAATCCTTATTATTTGCTTTATTTAAAGTACCTTCCATACTTAGTGTCCTAATATAAAATTATTTACAAGTAAAACTTTAATAATTTAAAAAACAAATCAAAAAATATAAAATAGAGAATAAAATTTCAAAATAATATGTAGTTAATAACATTATATCTATCCCAAATACTAATACTATAATAATCGTAAGTAATTATCTATAGAGTATTTCAAGTGTTTATTATTTAGATTATTTTACTACTGAAACAATTCAAAACATTATACGTAAATTAAAAAAAATAAAAAAAAAATTAAATAAATAAATTAGCTGATTATTTTATTTCATAAATATACTTTGTTCAAAAAAATTAAAATTTAGTAATAATTAGTAATAATAGTATTATTTTGGCTAATCTTTATACATTAAAACCTTTATATATAATTAATTAATAAGTAACATTATTAGTTGTTCTAGAAAAATCAAAATTTATCTCTTTTTTTGATACTAATAATAAAAACATTGTTTTATATGACATAGATTAAAATTAAATATCAAATTTACTAAACATAAGTAATTAATATAATATAAGAATGTTAATTAAAATATAATAAAAAAATATATTTAAATTAAACTGATTTTCTCTTTAAATATTATCGAAAAATATATTAATTATTTCAATAATATAATATATAATTTTTTAATTTTTTTAGAAGATTTGACATTTAACCCTTTATTTGTTTATTCAACTACTTTAAGTGATTAAACGACTTTAATATTTTATTAGGAAATAAACAGAATAAGTGTTTTTGATTCTTAAAGTTTAAAATAATACGGATATTTTCCATTAAGTATAATTTTTTAATAAAAAATAAATTATTATATTATAAAAAAAGGTTTGAGTAGCTAAAAATCAATTTTTAAATATGAATATTTAGATATGAAAAAACATCCTATGTATGATATATTATTTGTTGCTGCAGATTTCTTAACTGTAGTTAGATTAGATAGTTATAAAGACTCTAGATATCCTATATTATTAGAACAATGTAATTTTTTAAAAAAATTAGATTATTTTACTTAATTTGACTTTTTAAGAAAATAAAGAATTTGGATTTTCAAATAATTTACTTTTTTTTAACTATAATGATTCTGTCATATTAATTTTAGGTGAAGGAAATGTTAATATTTTTTAGTATAATGTTGAATATATTTAAGAAAAAATTATTTTAAATCTAATATAAAAACAAGTTCTTAAAGCATATTTTGGAAGATTTTAAAAATTTTCTGAAAGTTAATATGGATTAAATGCAGGTATTTCATTATTAATTTATAGTATTAATCCGAAATTTGTACCTTAGAGATTTTTTTGTAATAATATTTTTCTTCTTTTAAAAATATATATATTTTTTTTCGTTTTAAAATAAAAAGATATGTAGCATCCTATAAATTATAAAGGATTAATAGTCAAAATAAACTAAAAATAATATTTATTGAATTATTTTCCAAATAACATATAAATAAATGAAAAGTATGATTTTTATAATTCAATAAAGACATATAGTGTTTCTACTCCTTAAGAATAATTTACAATTATTCTTAGCACGTCACATAGTTCAATGATGAAAATTGTAGGCGATGAAAATTCATTTTTAATAAAATATTTTATAACCAAAAGCTAATTCTCAGATGAAGAAATGGGAGTATTATTATTTAATGTACTCACAGAAAAAATATATAGAATAAAACTAAATATAAAATAATATTAATCATGGAACAAAATATATTTTTTATCTAGTGCTTACTATTTTTAAGAGAAATATTATTTAATAATATCAAATATAGTTGCAAATGTACTTTTTTAATAATTAGTCCTCGATTTGAATTCTCTAAATGCTATATTTGTTAAATAATTAGTTTCAAATCCTCCTTTAAATGGGCCACCAGCACCTGTGGTTGGACGTACAATTTTAGGTGTGTATTCTATTACTTCTGATATTACTAATTAAATTATTGGCATAGATAACTATGGGTGGGTTTATACTTGGAATTTAGATGGAAGTTTTAAGAGAAGGTATGATAAAGTTTTCAGAGGTTAATTATATATATTTAATCATATTTTAATAAGAAAAAATAAATAGTTTGTTTTTCATCAAGTTATGGTATTTTATATGAAGTTTAAGGATAATACTCCTATTTTATAATGTAATGTAATGACAGAAGTATCCTTTAATATGATTATGAATAAAATAAGGTGGATTTAATAATAAAGCATACTCAATAAGTAGTTGCTTTTGAGAAAAATGAAAATAAAGGAGTCTTATTTTTAGGTGATTTAGCTAGTGCAGGCGAATTATTAGCCTATAAATATAATGAAAAAACAAGGATTTTTACTTTATTTTTAAGATTACTACCTGGTTTAGCTGCTGAACCAATATTTGGGATAAACTATTTCTTAAATAATGATATTCTAATATATTATGATAATTATAAAGTTTATATTAATCTAACTGATTGTATTGATGACCCATCTTAATGCTTAGCATGTTCTTAATAATATTTTTTCAATACCTAATAAAATTTTAGTATTTCACCTGAAGTTAGATTCAATTATGGAGATGGAGCATTAAATAACCCTTATAAAACTTCTAATTTAATTCCAATGAGTATTTTGAAGGTATAAAAAAAAGTATATATTGATAAATTTTTAAATTTTATAAAGGCTAGATTATATAAATTTTTATTAATAAGTAATGGCTAGAATTAATTAATATAACCTATAGTTGATTTAGATATAAGTTTTGATGGCGTTCTTGATTTAAAAGAATAATTTATAGAACTAGAATTTTCTTAAGAGCTAAAAATTTCATTTACGGGATAAAACGCATTATTAGAAAATAACAAAATTGTATTTCCAAGTTTAATGAAATTTATGAATTACTAGAAAGTATCACTAAGAAATTTCCAGATTTTTTTCTAAAAAAATTAATAAAGTCAATGTGGATTATATTTTAGTAAAATATTAGAGCAAATATATATTGAAAATATCGAATTTTTAAGTTAAGACGACAGTAGAAATTGTATTTATTTATAATTAATAGAAAGTAATATAGAAATAGGAAAATTAGTATTGTAAAAAAACAAAATGAATAATTAGGATTTTATTAAAACATAAAATGTAAAAAAAATAAATATAAAAAATCTTGAATTTAAAGAGAATTTTGTAAAAAATTTTCAGTTTATTGATAGTTTTGAGGGTGACTTATAAATAGAAAATGCTTTTTTCGAAAATAATTAATGTTTATCTTTTTAAAATGAAGAAAATAAAAATCTTTTTGCTTTTTTCCATTCTGGAAATTTGCAAGTGAATAAATTTTATGTAAAAAATAATTCGTTTTGTAACACAGTATTTTTTTAAATTGATTCTAATGCCAATTAATCTAAATTTTCTTTCTTTTTTTAAGAAGTTATATTCCAAAATAACAAAATTTAATCAGTTTCAGATAAAATTTTTTTCTTTGGGTAATATTAAATGATCTATTTTCCTCAGCATTAGCTTTCTATGTAAAATATTTAAATTTCAGGAAACTAATATATTAATGCATTTAAATAAGATTACTAAGGATATTTTATTAGCACATTTAAAGTTAAAAATATATAACTTTCTCAAATTTCGTAAATAAATTCATCAAATTTAGCATTCGGGATTTTTGATATTGCAGAAATTTTAACCACAACCGATTTTATTTGCCAAAATGAAGATCTTTATATCCAAAAACAATAACAAAACTTCTCATAAGCATACTTTAAATGCTTAGAAAATCCTGAAAATTGCAGTTTTAATTAAGATTTTTCAAATAATAATGACTAATTACCAACATCATAATGTTTATAATTAAAGGATATTAGAAATGTAGAATTGGAAAAAATATAAATAAAAAATTAAATATCCAAAAACAAAAATTTGATAATATATGTGAATTAATATTGGGAACTTGATGTTATTTTTTCCTTAAAAGAATCTATTTTTGAAAAAAACTATTTAATTTAAGAAATAAATAAGTAATCTAATATACTTTTTATATCTTCAAGTTTCGAAATGTAAGTTATTCTTGAAAAAAATTAATTTTTGAACAATCATCTATAAGGAATTTCCAATTCTTCAATTTTATCAACTTCTGGAATACTTCTATTTAATTATTTAGGCTTCACTTCTATCAAAGATTCTATATTTGAAAATTCTACTTCTAATACAGAATTTAATATGATTATATTATTCTCAAAAAAAATATTATTATTCAAAAATACTTTCTAAAATACTAAAAAATATGTTTTTCCAAAAAATATTTACTTAGGAGGATTTATTAAGGTTAAAACTGAAGAAATAATAATTAAAAGTTCCTTTTTTGGATATTAGAGGGCGCTTTTAGGGGCTTTTATATACTTAGAAATTCTTTCTAATGAAATTTCAATAGGATTAATATCGAATTTGTTCAAATTTGGTTTTGCGAATGAAAACGGGGGATGTATTTATATAAATAATTAAACTTCTGACAATTTATAGCTTAATATTATTGATAGTAAGTTTTCTAATTTAATTTGTGGAGTTGATAATTGTTCTATTATTTTTTTAAAATAAGAATTTTTTAATACTCAAATTAACACTTAAAATAGTTTTAATAAAAAAATAAGCCTTTATAAAGTAGAAATTACTAATATTTATTCTTTAAATACAGGTTTTTTTATTTAATTAATTAATGGCGATTTGAATGTTAAATTGGACTAATTAATAATTTAAAAATACCAAATTTAAAAATAGAATTCTTATTTTGAAAGCTTGTCTGAATTTGAGAAAAGTCTTATTATTTAGGAAAATACGGAACTTCTTGAAGAGTTTAAAGCCTTTTTTAATATAAAAATTTGTTTTTTTAATGGATTTTTGAAAGCAATAAATTCCTCTTTTTATATTGAAGAAAGCAAACTTTAAAATATTAAAAATAATTAGAATGTTCCGCTTTTTGCTTATATTTAATATTCTAAAATTAGTATTTTTAGGCTAAATATTTCTAATAATAAGTTTGGAAGTTAGGGTATATTGTAAAGTTCTTTTAATAAAATAACAATATAAAATTCTTTGTTAGAAAATATGGATTAGTTTTTGCAAGAAAGTTAAAGGGTATTATAATAAAATGTTAATTTGGGCAATTTATTATAATTGTAAATTTTTCCTTTTTTATTTGATGATTCAGTTATCTATTTTAATTAAGTTAATATAAATAATATTTCTTGTAATAATTAGTGTACTGCCGGCATTTTAAATTTCAGAAATTCATTTTTTAATATACTTGAAAGCAATTTTTCTTCATTAAAAGTATTTCTTTTTTTTTCTTTTTTTAATTTAAAACAAAAAAAGTCTTCATAAGGAAGTGCTTTAAATATTAAAAACTACAAAGAAAAGTCCTCAAATTTAATTTATAATTCCAAATTTATTAATAATGAGTCATTTTTAAATGGTGGAAGTATATATATTCTCAATTAAAGCCCTAAAGTAAAAAATTTAAAATTCATCAAATAAATATAAATTTATAAAAAAGTCTTATAAAATGTAAATCTAATAATGTTAAATAAGTAAAAATAAAGCTTAAGCTGGAGGAGGTTTATACATAGGAACAGATGCTGAAAATTTCAATCAAAATCAACTATTTATAATTGAAGATACAATAATAAGTGAAAATATAGCTTAAAAAGGAGGTGGAATATTATATTATAATACCATAATAAACATGATAAATACTTAATTTGCAAAAAATAAGTCTATTATTGGTTAGGATTAATTATTATTACCAAGTATTTTAGTACTGGAAAACCTAAAAGAAATAAAATAATAATAATTTTAATTTGAACAAATTAATTAAAGTAATACATTTATCTTAAAAAATATAAGAAGTGGAGATAAAATTCCAATATTTATTTTCAGTTTATATGACTCTTTGGGTCAAAAGTACTTTTTGGAAACTTCGGAAGAACAAAAAAATGAAAAATTGGAAATTTAAATAAGTCCGAAAACCCAAAACATTCAGAAATATTATATTAGAGGACCTACATTAGCCTCATACGATGTAAAAACAGCAACTTTTTAATTTTTAGATATGGAATTAATTGGAGAACCAGGAAAAAAATGTATATTGTAAATAAAATCACTATCAAATCTTATAAAAATAACTGATGTTTAAAAAAATACAATATAAGATTATTCCTTTGAAATATAAGTGGAAATTAATCCTTGCAAAATGGGTGAATATCCTAAAATATATAATTAATTTACTGAATGTATAACTTGCCTTCAAGGGACTTTTTCCTACGACTTAAAAGATTGCTATTTGTGTCCTAAAGAAGCAATTTGTGGAAATTAATAAATTATTAAAGTCCTACCAGGATATTGGAGGAAAGGATTTACGAGCCAAAATATTTATAGTTGTGAAGGACAAAAAGAAAATTGTATAGGAGGACTTTACGGAGATTCTAAAGAAGATAATTTATGTTATGAAGGTCATTTAGGACCTTTTTGTATTGAATGTGATGTAAAAAAAACAAAAAATATAATTTGTTTTATTTTTTATTAGATTTAAGGAAATATTTGGGGAGAAAGTTATTCAAAAGAAGGAAAATATTCATGCTCTAAATGCTCTGAAATGAAATATAATTATATTATTATTATTATTTTGACAATATGGACTTTTATTTCAATGGTTGCGGCTGTATTAAGTGAATTTAAAGATATTTAGAAATAATAAATTTTTAGAACTATCAAAGTTTTAGATGATAAAAGATTATATTTAAGAAATAATATTAATAATATGACTTCGGTTTATGTCAAAATATTCACTAATTATTTTCAAATAGTTTCATGTATTTCTAAATTTGATATTGGTGTATAAGCAGGTATTTACATTTTTTTTTAAATTTTAATTTAATCAAAAAAAAAAAGATTTTCTACTTTATTTATCTTCAATTGGATAACCTATATAATAAACAATGAATTCATTCGATTGTGCAATAAAAGATATTCCAACAGAAATACCTCTAATCTATTTAAGACTAATATTTTCATTAATTATGCCTATATTTTATGTTATATGTTTCATAATTTTCCTTTTTGTAAAAAAACAATTTTAAAGTAAAGTAACATTCCTTGGAAAATAGTTTTATCTTCAATGATGTTTTTGTTTATTTATCTATAACCAGATTTAGTAGGATAAATGATTGCTCTACTTTCTTCAAGATAAATAGATGGAACTTATTATCTTTTAGCAAATTTAAGTTATGCTTATGATGAATCATCTAACTTATATTATAGGTTATGCTTAGTTATACCTTTATTGTTAATTTGGGTTTTCTTTATTCCTTTAATTGTTATTATTCTACTGTATTATAATAGATTTTAATTAAAAAAAAATATAATTAAAGTTAAATATGGGTTTCTTTATAAAGAATATAAATAAGGCCTTTATTTCTGGGAGTTTGTAAAAATGTTTCAAAAAATACTTATTATTATAATTTTGAATTTTTTTTCAGAAGAAATAAAAGTTAAAGGATTACTTGTATTTTTTGTAATTCTTATTTATTCAATTTTGACTCTTTTTGGAAAACCCTATAAACAAAAAAATCTTAATTATGTTGATAGTTTATCTTCTAATATTTGCGCATTGACAGTTCTTTTAGGCATATTTGCAAATGAAAATCGATATGACTATCTTAAATATACAGGTATTGCATTAATGGCTGTCTTTAATCTATTTTTAATTATCGAATTATTATATAAGATTATTAAAATATACATTATTAGGTTATATATTTATATTAAGGATTATTTTTTAAGAAGAAAGTTTAAAGTTTTTTCAATGCTAAATTAAAGAAAGAAAGTAATTAAAACTAGAAAGCCTTTCGATCCTTAATTATGGGCAAAAATAAAAGATGCTTTATTAAATTTTAGTAATAAAAGCACTGAAATTTAAAAATAAATATTTGAAAAAATATAGATGGAATATGTTTGTAAAATAATTTTTTTTTATGTTATTTAATTATTAATTTTCTATTTTTTTTTTTAAAAAAAAAGTAATATAAAGAAAAAAATTAATAAAGCAAAATGAAAAAATCTTAAAAGAATAAGAAAATTTAAAAAAAGGCCTTATTGTAAACTATAATACAGCATTAAGTAGTAGTAGTGATGAAATATCAGATTCTTAAGAAAATAAAGAAAAAAGTAATAATAGTAAAAATATTAAGGAAGCATCTTAAAATAAAAATAGTAATAAAAGCAATTTACAAATAAATAAAAATTAAAGCATTATTAAGGAAGAAAATCAATATTCAATTATTTATGATAAAAGTAGCATAAAAAATTAAAATATTAAAAAACTAAAGGAAAATGATCAAAACGAATTTAATTGTTAATAAATAAAAAGCTTGGAATATATAAAAGAATACAAAAATGAAGAAAATTAAGTTAAATCATTTGGAAATACAGAAGATACTCTAAAAAATAACATTTTTTTTTCAAACTATAACTTTTTATAAAACAGTTAATAGAATATACTCTAAAACATTAAAAAAAACAAAAGCCAACTATAAAATTAGAATATAGTGAAAGTAATTTAATTTAGAAAAAAATGAAAATTAGAATAAAGAAAGTGTAGAAAACTTAGAAAAAAATCAATATTAAGAGATTAATAATAAAAACTAGCAAGATAACGATATTGAATTAGAATAAATTTTAGAAAAATAATAAAATAAAGATTAAAGTAATTATCCTTAAGAAAAAACAAATAATAATAATATAGTTAATCTTTTAAATACTTTAGAGTAAGAATAAATTTCTCCAAAGCCATAAATAAAATAAAAAAGAAATATATATTTAAGAAAATCAGTTCCTGGAGTAAATCCTGAAAAAAAATAAAAATAAACAATATTTTTAAATAGAAAAAGTTTAATAATAAAAGAAGGGATTAATGAATAAATAGGGCAATTATCTAATTAAAAAAATGATGAAAATTTCTAAAAAATAATAAATAATAATTAAATGGAATTAATAGATGAGTTTTAACTTGAAGATTCTTATCAAAAATCTGAAAGTTAAAAAAATGAAAAAAAAGAAGATAGTTTAAAATAGAAAACTAATACAAATAATAATACATTAAATAATAATAATTTAATTACTAATAATTAAAATATAATAAATATTATGTAAGGATATTCTAATTAAAATATTTAAATAGAATAAAAAACTAGCAAATAAAATAAAAATTATAATAGTGAATTAAATATACCTAGTAATAAAAATATTAGTAAAAACAATGGTAGTTAGAAAAACAGTAGTAAAAATAGTATTGATAATAGTAAAAATTGAAATTAAAATAAAAATAACTAAAGTATTATATAAGCAAAAATAAAAATAAAATATAAAATATGAAAGTTATAAAAATTAAATAAAAAAATATTATTAAGATTATATATTAAAAAGAAATAATAATTTTTTATATAAAAAGATATATATATATATAAACAATATACAAACAAATAATATATAAATAAATAATATATAAAATATTATAAAATGTAATAATAACCATATCTTTGTGATTTTCAATAAATAATTTAAAATGTATAAATTTAAATATAAAACAATTAATATTCATTAGCTTTATAAATTCTATAAGAAATAAATTTAGATAATTTATTATAAAATCCTCAACAACATAATTAAATAATTTTATTATTTATGAAATGTTTAGAATAGTAAAGAAACTGGACAAAAATACTCGATTATTCACAAAAATATAATTAGTCTATCACTGATAATAAAAATCTATTAGAATATTTATTGATATGGTTTAATTCAAATTTAAATTTAAAAATTATGATGATATAATTTAACAATGTAATGTATATTTAAATAATCCAAAGACAAAGCAAATACGTAAATATGCTCTTTTTTTTAATGGGATAGTATTTAATCATAAAAAGAAACACATGTTATCTATTAATTTTTTAGATAGTGCTTTTAAAGAAAATAATGGGACAAATAAGAAATTTGAAGCAAATATTAATTTAAATAAGTCTTTTATCCTTTTACAATTAAATCAATTTGAAGAAAGCCTAACTCTTTTAGAAAAATCAATTTAAGAATTAGGAACAAATATATTTGGGCTATTAATAAAATCGAATTGCTTAGTAAAAATGAACAAATTAAAGGAATCTTTAAATACACTTTTATTAGCAAAAGAAATATTTGAATGTAAATAATTTAACTTTGAAGAATTTTCTGATGATGAAATAGAATGGATAAAATAAAAATTAAAAGAAGAAAATTTAGAAATAATAAACCATATATAAAATTTAAACGAAGAAAAATTAAATTTAAATGATAATCATTAAAGTATAATTAAAAATATAATATAAAGTCTTACTGACTAAAATTCTTTAATAATTGATGATATACTAAAATAAAAATTTTACGATTTATTAAAAGAAAACTTTTCTTGGTAAACTCTTACTAAAGAAAAAGACAAAATCTAAGCTGATAATAATTGCTTAGACAACCCTAAGTTAAAAGATTATGTTATTTCTTTTAAATAAGCATCTTCATTATATTTTGTAAAAGCACTTGGAATTCAAAATGGTTTTGTTTTAGAAAAAGATAAGGAATTATTAGACTTTGGAATAGATCTTCTAAAACTAGTTCCACTTTTTGGTGAAAATATAAGCTTTGTACTAAACTCTTTTAAAGAATATACTGATTAATAAACATTATATTGTAGAACAAAAGCCATTATTGAGTTTGGAACCACAGTAGGAGAGTTTGAAGATAAAATAAACAGAATTATAAGTAAAATAATTTAAAATAATTAAAAATAAATCCAGATTATATAAGAAGCTGAAATATATGCTAATAATTACGTTAAACAAATAAAATCTTGGTAAGATTTATATGAAAAGAAAATGTAGAAAGTATTAAATGTAGAAATTCTTTCATAGTCCTATCAAAAAATTCTGGGAAACTAAGATGCTGAAGAACTTACAGGCTCTTACATTGCAAGTGGATATTTAAATTAATTTTAGGAAGATGTTTAGATTGAAAAATGTGTAGAATTTTGTGTTTCTGTTTAATAAGAAAGATAAAATTTTAAAGAAATTTCTAAAGAAATTTGTAACAAAATAATAAAAGAAGATGCATCAGGTTTCCTATCTTAGATCTTTACAGGATTTAAATATTATTTAAATTTATGATTTTAATATTTTATTATATATATAATTATATATTTTTTTTTGTTTCATAAGTATTATAAATTAAATATTTTTTATCATAATTGGTATTTTGTTTTTTTTAACACTTGATTACTTTTGCATGTTCCTCTTATATAATCGGATTATTATTTATTTCTTATAGTTACTTTTTTAGTTTTTTGTAGTTTATTTATTCTATAAATCCTTGCTTAGGCTTTTTATAATATTTTTGTACTATTATAATTAGGAAAATAATATTAATAATCTTATTAAGAATCGAATTTCCAAATAATATCATATTCTTCTTATATCTTTTATATTTAATTTAATAAGCTTTTATTTATTTATATTTTTAAAAATGGAGAATCTATAGAATTATTCTATATTAGAGCTTTATTTTAATTAGTATGATTTATACATGATTTCCTTAAAGAGTTTTTTTATTTCTTAATTTCAATTATTTTTTTTAATTCATTTTAGAATTTTTCAATATCCTATTATTAAGCCTTTTTTTTTTTAAAAAAAAAAAAAAACAGTTTATTAAAATATTTTTTTTTTGTTAACTATTGATGTGCTATATCTTTTTTTTTAATATTATTAAATTTTATCTTATTTAGAATTATGAGAAGATGTTTTCTTAAGTTTAATTGTTTTAATTAATTAAACTCTTTTTTATTTATTTTTATTTTAATTATCTAAATCATCTAAACTATTAGAATAGTTTTCTTAAAGTTCATAATTTTATGAAGAAATATCTTCTTACTCTTCTTCTTTTTCATATTCTTCAATAATCATGTTTTCGTTATTCTCATTTTCATATATATCCTAATAATTATATAGAAATTTTATATTATTATTAGCTTCTTCATCATTAATTGACTATTCATAGATCTATTCAAAATAATCATCCTATTTATTGAGTATTTTTTTAATTT